CTGTCACAATCATAGAAGGCAATCAGGTTGGTCAGGAATGAGTTGCCCTTGGTGAATCCATGCTGACTGTTCCTAATCACCTCCTCCTTCTCCAAGTGCTTAGAAATGGATTTTTTGAGAACTTGCTTCATGATTTTTCTAGGGACTGAGGTGAGGCTGACTGATCTGTAGTTCCCTGGATCCTCCTTCTTCCCCTTCTTAAATATGGGCACTATATTTGCCCTTTTCCTATTGTCCAGGACCTCCCCCGGTTGCCACAAGTTTTCAAAGATAATGGTCAGCAGCTCTGCGATCACATCAGCCAACTCTCTCAGCACCCTCGGATGTACTGTATGCAGCCCCATGGACTTGTACATGTCCAGCTTTTTAAAATAGTCCCTAACCTGTTCTTTCACCACTGACGGTTTCTCACCTCCCCAAACTGTGCTACCAAGTGCAGTACTCTGAGAGCTGACCTTGCCTGTGAAGTCTGAAGTAAAAAAGGCGTTGAGTATGTCAGCCTTTTCCTTGTCTGTCACTAGGTTGCCTCCCCCGTTCAGTCAGCGACCCACATTTTCCATGACCTTCCTCTTGTTGCTAACGTATTTGTAGAAACCCTTCTTGTTACCTTTATCAATTTAACAAAAAAAATATTGAAATGAATCTGGTTACACTGGACCCTGTTGGTGGATGCTCCTAAATCAGTCTCTGAGGGTGCCTATACACATGCTCCAACGCATTTCAATTAGAGTGCATTGGAACACATTAGAACGCATTGGAGCAAACTCGATTAATTGAGTCTGCTGGGCCATTCTAGTTAGAATGCTGCAGCATGCTGCAGCATCACATGTATTCAGTGTCTTGCATTTCAAAATAGCAGCGGGGATGGTTTAACTAAAACGCATCAAACGAGCTTTAGTTAAAGTGCTCCTGCAGCCATTTTGAAATATGGGGTGCTGAATACACATGACGCTGGCGCATTTTAATTAGAACGGTTGTCCAGGAGCTGCTCTATTTTAAACACCCTTCTCCGCACACCTCCCCACCACAGAGTATGTGTATAGACAATCTGAGTGCTGGATCAGGGAGAAGTTGGAGTGTTGTTTTAGCTGTGATAGTCCAGGGAATGCTGAGAAGCAAGGCTTTTTTGTGATTTTTTTTTTTTTTTTTTATTTGATATTTTATTAAATATATAGTTGGGAGAGCTGTTAGACAAGCTTTTAGGTGTTAGATACCTTATAAGGTCTCTAAGTGACTACACACAGACATACAATGATGGGACAAAAAGTGTGATTTGAAATTGAATTAATAGTTATTTTGCTGCAAGTCACCAGCCTCTATATACACGATAGCTTTACACTAGTGGGGATGATATCGGGTCCCTGTTTGTTAAAGAAGCAAAAATACTGAATAAGATACTTCTACACTGAGAGTTTGTGAAGTAGCTTTGATGCCTGAATTAAAAGACCTACATCAATGTAAGGCAGTACTGTTACAATGAGTGATTTTTAATCAGCCAGTTTTTGGCCTCGGTTCACTTCAGATAGGCTCTCTTAGTGTAGAGTCATTACTTTCCCAGTTCATATGATGGGCTGGGCAATTTTTCCCAAAAGAGTATAAGAAAATAAAACTGCTGAAGTGCTAAGGTCTATTTTATTTGCTAAAATATTTGGTCATGAGGGTTGATGTGCATTTTGTGGATGATGCAGTTGGTAGAACTATAAGAAGTTGGATGAAACAAGTTTGATACAGCTGTATTCATTTCCTCATTCTTAGTCATGAGCTCATCTATCTTTATTAACCTTTTCAGTTCCTAGAAAACAAGTGCACATCCAGTAAATGTTTGGCCCAGGGACATACATTGTCTAAATGTAGTAATACATTGCTGACTATACTTCAGGAGGCATTATAGCACTGTGTGGCTTAGATGAATACCACAGGAGGGACTAAATGCTGGCATTTTGTTTCCTTTCTAAAAGTAGACAAGGACCTAGGGAAAACATATTGCTTTCATTTTAAATCTGCTTTCTCCCTTCCCTGTTCTTTTTGCATATGCACAAAGATTTCATTGCTTTTTATGGAGTAGCAAAGTAGGAAGAGAAATTTGAATAGAAAATAAAATTTCAGTAGGAAAAGGAGACTGGTCACATTATGGTGGGCCATGGCTCACCACAGACTGGAGAGGGCACATTTGCCTGCAGAGAATGGCACACAAAAAATGGGGGGTGGCTAGTTGAAACCAAAGTGTGATGAGACGGGTTAAGCAAAAATGTGCAGAAGGTTATGCTACTCCATACCTCATTACATGCTATGCACATTGCAAAAACTAGATGAATGTGATTGGATAACAACAGGGCAAAATCAACATTTATTTCTGCAGTTGGCTCAAGAGTTGTGAAATCTGGGCTGGTCACATGCAATCCCTCAAGGATGATTTCTATCACTGCTCATTGATGCGTCTAGGCTGGTAATGTTCTTACACTATGTGCTTGCATTTTTAGTTGTCATTTGCCTACAAATACAAAGAATCTTCATGTTTCCATGTAAAGATTGGGCCTCTGACATCCAGCTGCCCTGCAAAGAAGCAGCAGGCAAGCAGGATACTGTTACCTGTACACTAGGAGCCCAGATGTCAAGAAAACCCCCTGGTGAACAGAACTCTTGTGTTTTCATTTTGTGGCCTGAGTGTGCTTGTGTGCCTGTATTCAGTGGGACAAACACTCATCCTGGCTATGGCTTACCTGGCCTCACAATACCAACACAAATATTCAGTTCCAGAAACAAAAGTCCATATTGAAAATGTGAGAGTTGAGGGACCTGGCACACATTCAAATTAAAGCTAGATAGAAAATTGCTACAAGGCCTTGCTGCAGGTTCTAATTAAAGCTGGACAGAAACCAACTGTAGAGTTATTACACACTTTGAAGCACTAACTTTAAAGCTGGTTGGCTCTTTTTATAGCTGGCTAATCATTTTGTATCATGTAGTAATAACTTTTAAATGTGTGGCCAGTCTAAATTAATTGTGCAATTAAGCGGTTAATATATGTAAGGAACCACAGGGCCTTCACATGTTTTCAATCACTATGGGTCCTTCTATCTGTTCAAAATGAAGCTGGATGGAAAATGGCTATAGAGCTGTTATACATTTTCAAGCACTATTTTTTTTGTAGCTGATTGGTTCTTTTTTATAGCTGGATAGTCATTTTATAGCATAATTACTTTGGATGTGGGCTAGTCTAAATGTAGGTGATTAACCAGTGAATTACACAATATAGGTAACGTGTAGCAGAGGCCTAACTTTATAGCTGGTTCACTCTCTTTTGTAGCTGTCCAGTCACAAGATAATGACTAGCACAGGTAGCTGGTCTGCATTTATTGCCCAGTTAATTGCTTTGCACCTGTGCCCCCTCTACATTTATTGCCCAGGAAACTGTAAAATAACATGTAGCAGGGGCTTCAGCAGTAGCCCTGGTCCTAGATTTAATAGATTCATAGATTGTAAGGAGCTGAAAGGGACCTCACAAGATAGTCAGGTCCAGCCCCACTGCACCAGGCAGAAAAGACAATTGGGGTCAGGTGACCCCAGCAAGTTGAACGTCCAGTCTCCTCTTGAAAATTTCCAGGGTGGGTGATTGCACCACCTCTGGAGGGAGCTCATTCCAGTCTGGACACCCTGACTGCCAAGAAGGTTTTCCTAATGCTGAGCCTGAAACGGTCGTCCAGGAGTTTGTGGCCATTACTCCTGGTTTGCCCCAGTTGTTCACCCAGCCCTTGATGTGTACTCCCCTGATGGAGTGATAAGCTGCTACCAAGTACCCCCTTGGTCTTTTCTTTTTCAGTCCCAGGTCCTTCAGCCTTTCCTTGTATGGTTTGCTGTGCAAGTCTCTGATCATATGGGAGGTCCTTCTCTGGACTCTCTCAAGCGTTACCAGGTCCTTGTTATAGTGCAGCGCCCAGAACTGGACACAGTACTCCACCTGCGCGCTCACCAGTGCAGAGTAAAGTGGAAGAATCACTTCCTTGGTTTTGCAGGAGCTTCATCAGTTGATGCATACCAGAGTATTATTTGCCCTGCTAGCTACAGTGTCGCACTATCAGCTCATATTCATAGTGATCAATTATAACCCCTGGGTCCCTTTTGTTTGTGGCGCTGGTCAGTTTGGCGCCACCAAACCTGTAGGGTTGCAGGGGATAGTTCATCCCCAGGTGGGGCACTGTACATTTCTCAATGTTGAACTTCATCTGGTTTCAATCTGCCCAACTTGCCAGCCTGCCTAGGTCCGCCTGTCTCTGCAGCCTGTCTTCAAGCGTGACCACGCTTCCCCATAACTTGGTGTCATCCACAAAGTGAGCTCTTCACCCCCACATCCAAATCATTGATGAAGACGTTGAAAAGCACCGGACGCGCTGCCCACCTCTCACCATGACGACACAGATCCGTTCATTAGGACTCTCTGGGTCTGTTCATTAGGACTCTCTGGGTCCTACCGGCTTCCCACCCACCCGGCTGTGGAGCAGTGAAGCTGCAAAAAGGCAATTTTCCGGTGGGATACCAGTTCAAAGCCTGGGCCAGCAGGAGTGAAGTTCGTGTAGCTGGGTGGGGACGAGACAGTGCATCCCCGCAGGGGAGAAGTCGGGGCGCCCTCCATTAAGCCGCGTTATCCCGCACGTGTGTCCGCT